ATACATACAATAAATATGTACTATACTACTGTATAGTAATACATACATAATGTTACTGATGAAACCTAAAAAAGCAGCAGCTAGTAGTAATCTCAATGTTTTCACAACGCTCCTGAAGTTAGCAATAAAAAAAGCAAAAAAGCAAAACTATACATACAATACATATATTTATAAATACTTTAAAAATATTTCTCATACGTCAGGGATGGGCAACTCAAAGTAACTAGCGGGCCACTTTTAAGTACTTAAAAATCTAGCGAGCCACAGTGCATAGGAGAAAGCAAAAAAAAAAAAGGTCCTTCAAATTTACTAACATTTATTTTTATCTTAATTCTATTTTCATCTTCGATTTTACGCTTTTTAGAGGACATTATTAAATTAATTACTACAAAACACGAAAATAATAGTACTAACGGCGCGGCGGCGTGACACTACGGCAGTACGGATATGACTAAACCGATAAAATGTAATAAAGAGTATGTTAGCTACGCCATTATAAATATATATTTAGACATTTAATAATTTAGTTTCGGTTTAAAACTAGATAAGAAAATATATCCACATTTTATCGAAAAATGTAATAAAATAAAATAAAATACAGATAAGTGCTAAAATTATAATTTGAAAATGTAGCGTGTGCCAGATAAAAAAGGTACGCGGGCCGCATGCGTAATAATATATGTAATAATGTAGTATAATTATATAAAACAATAATCAAATGAATAATATTCTCAATTATTATGAATCTGTATTATCTTCTATATTATGCTGAATTTAGTTGATTTTTCGAAAATTATTTTTTTGATAAGTTGCTTTAAGATTGAGTACTATAAATCATTCTTGAATTAACTGTTAAACATTATTTATTTTGTTTATTATTAGGTTGTATCCTAGTAAAGGAAGTGGGCATGACGAAACTGTTTTGAAATGAAGGGTTCCAGTACCAATAGACCTCAAGTGCCGTTACTGTCAACCATCGAATACGACAACATCACAGTAAGTATTTAAATGTAACCTATAAACGTATCTACGATTAAATAAAACCAAATACGAAATAATTTAAAAAATACTTGTACCCATTTTAAACAGTCGAGACTTCTCTGGGACTGGTGATAATATTACGTGTATGTCCAAAACCCTATATACGTGTACCCATTCTAACCATGCGGTTAAGCGAGTGCGTATGACGTGTGAGCAGTGGTTGAAACAATCGGAAACTACTAATGAACAAAGTGTATGTGACATGGGTGTCTAGAAACAAGTGTTAGTGTGGATATATTTTTTATATCGTGTAGTAGTCTATTCTGAGTGTTTATGAATAATAAATAAATTATAATAATTATTGTTTCGAAAAAAAATTAACTGGCAATCTCAAAAAAAAATAATATCAAATAATTATAAAATTCTTGCTTTTCAAAAAATACCTAGCAAAACATACAAAA